GCTCAAGCCACATGCGCACGGTGAATGAGTGCGCTGCCTGTGAAAACAACGAGCCGCTTCGCGGGTGTGCCAGAGAGTCGGGACACGGGTGAGACGTGGATTCTGGGTTAGTCCTTGGTTAGGATTGACACCTCTCACAGTATGTATGTATGTATGTATGTATGTATGTATGTATGTATGTAATGTATGTATGTATGTATGTATGTATGTATGTATGTATGTATGTATGTATGTATGTATGTGTATGTATGTATGTGTATGTATGTATGTATGTATGTATGTATGTATGTATGTATGTATGTATGTATGTTATGTATGTATGTATGTATGTATGTATGTATGTATGTATGTATGTATGTATGTATGTATGTATGTATGTATGTATGTATGTATGTATGTATGTATGTATGTATGTATGTGTATGTAATGTATGTATGTATGTATGTATGTATGTATGTATGTATGTATGTATGTATGTATGTATGTATGTATGTATGTATGTATGTATGTATGTATGTATGTATGTGTATGTAATGTATGTATGTATGTATGTATGTATGTATGTATGTATGTATGTATGTATGTATGTATGTATGTATGTATGTATGTATGTATGTATGTATGTATGTATGTATGTATGTATGCATGCATGTATGTATGTATGTATGTATGTATGTATGTATGTATGTATGTATGTATGTATGTATGTATGTATGTATGTATGTATGTATGTATGTATGTATGTATGTATGTATGTATGTATGTATGTATGTATGTATGTATGTATGTAATGTATGTATGTATGTATGTATGTATGTATGTACGTATGTAATGTCATGATGTGATGTGATGTGATGTGATGTGATGTGATGTGATGTGATGTATGTATGTAATGTATGTATGTATGTAATGTAATGTAATGTAATGTATGTATGTAAGTATGTAATGTGTGTATGTATGTTAGGTTATGTTCTGTGATGTTATGCTATGTTATGTTATGTTCTGTTATGTTATGTTATGTATGTATGTATGTAATGTGTGTGTATGTATGTAATGGAATGGAATGGAATGTAAATGTAATGTAATGGAATGTAATGTAATGTAATGTGTGGTGTAATGTAAGGCATGTGTGTATGTATATTTGTTTTCGGTTCTGCATGTGGGTATGTGGCAGTTCATAGTATCTCTGTGTGTGTGTGATGGTGTTTGTTTGTGTGTGTGACTGCCATCAGACTGAGCTGCAAGTCTTGAGGTGGTATCACTGCTGGCTTGAAGCAAATCTCCGAAAACCAGAAGGACAGACAGTGGGCGAAGAAGTGCAACCGCCGTTGTGTTCCTGATTGTTCTAGGAGTGGCCAGCTCGCCAGAATTGGGCACTAATATTCAAGCATGCCTCCCTTCCCAGGAAGGGCGAGTGGAACGATTGTCCAAAACGACACGTTGCCATCTCGCCAGGACTTGCTGAAGCCCGTGTCAGATGACAAAAAACCAGCGATAAAGGCCAGGACTCGCCGTGTTTGCCAGGTCCAAGGTGGCATTTGAGCATTCGCATGGTGGAACTGTTTGGCCTCAAATGCGCGGCAGTCATACGATGTGCATGTTCTGTTTCCGGCGTGGCCCAGTGGAAAGGGTGGGCCTGGCAGTCTGGAGGAGATGCTCAGCACGCTGGGCACCACATTCGATCAGATCTTGGAGGCAGCTACGCATTCATGCGGAGCTGTGAGCGCTGAAGGTTGGTCGGTTTGAGTCTTCTGAACCTTCTTGGCATTTCTTGAAACTCAGTTAGCCGCCGATGAGTTTGGCAATGGTGCGACTTGACAAGGGCTTGATCAAGCCTATGAAATCCCTCAGAACAGTTTGTCCACTTGCTAGCGTAGGAGCCTTGCCAAGGACAGCGTTGCTGTTTAAGGCTACCCTTTCCGGGGTTGCTTCAAAGAGACGCGAGAGAGAAGGCAGACATTTGTAGCCCTGATTTTTTGAGACAAACAGTGACAACCCGAAGCGTGTGACCGACAGGAGATCGGTGGGGCTGAGTATGGCGGCACTGGAACCCCATACCAGGCGGGCACGGCCTCAACCAAGGTGGCCATGCAAAATAAGCCCGCCTTGATGAGCCATTGGCTGCCAAGTTGCCAGTTACTTTGGGCCTGTTTGGTTGATTGGGCATTTTACTGTTCAGTCTAGCATGCCCAGTCTATCAGGTATAATTGAGCAAAGCTGGATGGCGGAAGTTTCATGGAGTTCCTAAGCAACAATGTGCCTATCGGAGACGAATTGTTTTCGTGGAGCGTCTCTTCTCTTCTCTTCTTTCTCTTCTCTGAGCATCTCGTGTTTGTTCTTCTGTTTCTCTTCCTCTTTCTCTTCCTCTTTCTTCACACTTTCTCTTTGTCTTTCACTTCCTCTTTGTTTTCGCTCTTTCTCTTTGCCTTTCTCTGCTCTTTCTCTTCCTCTTTTTGTTTTCCTCTTGCTTTCTCTCTCTCTCTCTATTTCCCTGTTTTTTTTTCTTCTTCTTTTCTTTTCTCTTTTCTTTTCTCCTTTCTCTGCTCTTTTCTTTATCTTGTCTTCTCTTCCTCTTTCTTTTTTTATTTATCTTTCTCTTCCCCTTCCCTTCTCTTTCTCATTCCCTTCTTTCTTTGCTCCCGTCCTTCTTTCTTCCTTGTTTTCTTTTGCTTTTTTGTTCTGTCTGTCTGTCTGCCTCTGTTTCTTTTTGTCTGTCTTTCCTTCCTTCCTTCCTTCCTTCCTTCCTTCCTTCCTTCCTTCCTTCCTTCCTTCCTTCCTTCCTTCCGCGCCTGCCACGGAATTGGGCGCAGCAGTTCGCGCGCCCACTCCAATGCCATTCGCAGGTCGCGCGACTTACCTTCCCAAAGTCGCGCGACTTACCTTCCCAAAGTGCTGCGCCTGTCACGAGTTCTGCTGCCCATGGGAACAAACCGCTATACCTGCTACGAAATCTGCACCTGACCTTGCGAAAGTGCTACACCTGCCATTGGGCAACTTTCCAGACAGCGGCGAACCTGCGGCGAGACCGCGGCGAACCCGTGCGCTGAACAGAGGTAGCCTTCGTGATCTTGCCAAACTAAATATGCCGCGCCTGCCACACAATTCCTTCCGTCTCTATCTCCTTCTTTGTATTTTTTGCTTACTATTTCCATTTCTTTGCACGACTCTGCTATTTCAACCTTTCCTAGTACGGAAGTTTTCTAGCTAAACTTCCTTTGGTTAGCCTAGCAGTTGGCCGTCATGTCGCTGTCAGCCGGCATGGCCATGCTGTGCTCAAAGGTCCAGATGTGCCGGTTGAGGACACAACTTTTGCAAAATCCGGCCCCACATTCTCGGCTTGGGCTGACCAATGGAGATATGGGGAGCTGGGGAAATCGAACCTAGCGGCATGAAACATACATATGAGTATTATAGCTAAAGGCTCGTTTCAGTTTGAATGGAATGTTCTCGACAAAGCGTAATTACTCCCTGTCAATTCGTCCCCAGGTTGTTTCAGTAAGGAACCGGGGTACCAAGGGTAGGGCGACTCTTGGTTTGGTTGATCCCTAGTCCTCCAGAAGGCAGGCTCAATCCTTTCATTCTGATTGGGTAGTCCCGTATTTTGAAGCACCCATGCGAAGAAAAGAGAAGCAGTCGAGGCCGGAGGGAACCACCCAGACTAGACTCGAGGCATCAATGTTCAACACCACTTGCATGTGTGGTGCATGTTTTCATCCATCCATGGCAGAATACAGAGTGTTCCTGCCACTGGGAGGCAGACATGGTGGAGAAATGCTTGAAGAGCAGCCGACTTAGCCTGACATGCATAACCTCTAGCTTCCCATTGACTTGCTGCTCTTGGGCTTCTCGTGTTCGTGGGACTCTTGCATGCGCACGCACGAGCAGGGCACGAAGCAACATTGGACATGAGATTGATTGCGTGCTTGCGTAGTTGAATGGTTCGGGCGTTGGTTCTGCGTAATATTTAGTTCTGGTTTGGGAGATGAGCGAACGTGAAGTTGACCAAGGTGCTGACAAGGCACAAGAGACAATTGGCCAGATTGAGGCCTCGGAAAAAGTGCACCTTGCCACATTCCAGCACTGATTTGCAGGGCAACTGCGAATGATCCATTTCCACCGGCATGTTTGTCGCCATCGCAGGAAATGATGCTTCCGGCAGGGTACCAATCAAAGGTGCAGTGCATTTGGTTGCAAGAATGACATTGCTTGAGCCAAAGCATATGTTGCCTGGCATGCAGCGCACAAAGCCTTTGCCGTGGTTTGCCTATGTGGGTCCAGGCAGCGGCCCATTTGCAGCAAGTTTGGCTGCGAGCTTTCTGGCCCAAAAGTTGGCAAGCTCGTCCGACTGGAGACGTGCCGCAATTAGAAGCGTGCTGCCTGCCGTCATGTGCAAAGACGAGGGACAACAGGGGCCTTCATCAAATGATGTCTTCACCCCCGTTGGACTGAGCTATGATGGAGGTTTTTGTGGTGGGCTGAGGTGCCTTGGCCAGCATAAAGCCCCTGTAAACCGTGCTTCCACTGCCGGGTTTGGATGCCAATGGATTTCCAAAGCAGTGGATTTCAAAAGCAGCAACGTATGCAAAGGCGCGACTATCGCCAGCGATTCAGCTGCGCATTCCTGAAATCTGATTGGCTGTCAGATGTGGCAAAGTCGAAGACCATCTCTGGCAGCTCGTCACACTGTTTCAATGCAGTGCTTTTTATGCCCTGGTAGGCAATCTCGGGTGGTTGGCAGTTAATGAGTATATGCTTGCATGCTTGCATGCTTGCATTCTTGCACACTTGCACACTTGCACACTTGCATTCCTGTCAGGTTCCTTGTTTCTCTTTTTTGCTACTTTCACCTCAACTATTGCGCTGGGCAAGCACATCAATGACGTGACCCACGGGGTCGGGAGCTTGGACGCAAGGGCCGGATCCAGTGTGCAAGGCTCCAAGACCAATGCGTTTCAGGCGTTTTAGCTCATGACATGTCATGGCAAATGGATGTTTAGACTATGCAGGTGACAAAGGAACAACACGTTTGCGGCCAGGTTATTGGGATCAACGAGTACGTCCTCATGAATAGCATCTCCGGAATGTTGCATTCAGTGATTGGCTGTCAGCCGCTCCTAGTTCTGCGGCCCACAGGGCCCATCACTCTCCTCATCGAGAAGCTCCACGAGGCCAGCGACTGGCTCTCCCTGCCTTTCTGGCCACTGCTGGCCTGGACTGGCATGTTCGTCGGTGCCCGGCTCGGACTTGTAGCATCTTGTAGCTGTATGGCCCTTTGGCTCAGTGCGCCGTTCTGAACCCGAGGTCTGTACATGTTTCTCATCGCTGCTTTTGAAGTAAGCAGACTCATCAAGTATGTCACAGCCTTCACAGAGAACATCTTCGCCATGTTTATCGGCACTGCCAGCACCTGAGGTGTCAGATGCGCTGTCGTAGTCATAAATTATGTCCGCTCTTGCTGTGTAACTGCTTCCTCTTAGGTCTACATCAATGACGGAGTTCAAGGTATGATTAGGTTATGGAGCAGCGCTCAAGCTGATGTGGAAGCGCAGAAGTTGTTGGTCTTGAACATGACATTGGGCTGCACACTCCTGGCCCTTTTCCTCAGCAATTTGGACGGCACATCATGGGCCACATATCGCATTCGAATGATTCTCATGGATTATGCGCTTGCCTTAATTTGCAGAGCTACCATGGTTTGCGGCATTGCCCGCGCATGGCCAGTGTTGCAAGAAATCCCCCGAGCCGCTCTTTGGCAAGGCGCTGACAATATCCATTTTCATTCTTGCTGGCGTGGCGGCCCTTCTCAACGCGCATTTCTTTCCGGTTGACTTCATCGACAGCACCAGCCTAGGCATTGGTCTTGCAAAAAGCGCTGCCCGTGTGGCTCCAGCCAGCCATTGACTTTGGAGAGAGGCAACCAAATTCCTTCTAATTAGCAGGCTAAAAAGACTTGCTCGGTACATGCTGGCGCCATCAGCCCTTGCCTCACAGCTAGGCTTCACCACTACTGCGGGCCGTGCCTGGACTACAAACTTAGCAGATACCACCCCGGAGGGTGTTTTGGCCGCCGCAGTAGCTGCCATCCCTATTGTATTGTTCTTCTTCTTGGACCAGAACATATCCAGCATCATGTGCCAAAAGGCAGGCATGCACATCCAGAAGGGCGCTTACTACCACTCCTCCTTCGCGTGCATGGCTCTATTCAACTTTTTGGGGCCTATTTGGGGCTTGCCTTTTGTGACCGGCTCTCTTCCCCATTCTCCGCAATTTGTCCATGCAATGACTGTTACTGATGCGAAGCACAAGCCAGTGGGAGTTGTGGAGAACCGCATCGCCCCGTTCGTTGGCTATGGCTTAATGATGCTTGCTTTAGTATTTCCCAAGCTCATCAGCCTGCTGCCGGAAACGGCCGTGTACGGGGCCCTCACCTACGTAGGCTTGAAAGCAGCTATGGGAACACAGCTTTGGGAGCGCTTTCTCCTCTTCTTTACTGACCCGCAGTACCATCCTGCTGATAAGGGCAACTTGGCAGTGTTTTGATTTTGTTTTTCTTCTGCCTGGGCCAAGCCGCACTCAGAGCAGAAGCACAGCCACGCATGTTTCGCGTGTTTGGATTTAGGCAAATGACGTAACTCAGTGTGAGCTGCCAGAACTGACCCAAGGATGGAGCCATTTGCCCCGTAGAACTGTGCATTTCTTCACGGCAATACAGCTTCTACTCGTCGTGGGCTGCTGGCTTTGCAATATCTACATTGGCCTTGGTTTTCCACTTTTCGCTGGAAGCTTAGAAAATCAAGGCTCGGGTGGCGGCGGCTCCTAGGGTGGAGCGCCTGAAGCCAGATTTGAATTCTGAGGTTGTGACTCTCATCCCAATTCGGTTCAAAGTCTTGCCCTGCCTCTTCTCAAACAAGGACATCGAGTCGCTGTTGTCAGAGGACAGGGGACGGTGAAACATGCAAGTGATCAGGAAGCTTGCTTCAGTTGGCTCATAAGACTGGGCAGGACAAGCCAGCAGAGCCACAGAGCGCCGATGACCTGCAAAACGCTGACCCAGAGAAAGTTAGCCCGCCTGTTCCAGACGAGGAGCACGTCCCAGCGTGACCTTGAAAAGTTGGCAGCTGCATTTTTGCGCTGACGGTTTCGGATTCAACGGCAAAAGACAGGATAAACCTGATTCTTGCCGATGCCTTTAAAGTGCTGTGCACAGACGAAGGCATATCGCCACAAATGATACAATAAGTCCTTACAGTGGCCAGAGATCTCCAAAGGACATCTACCTGTGCCAGTTTCCTGGGGCTAGGCGGTCTTCCAGTTTGGCCGTGGCTTCCATGCACCACCAGAAGTGCATCGGGAAGCGGCGAGGCTTGAGGCTGGCTGGTAAAGGCCTGCTCTGTTTTAACACGGCATTTTGTTTCGCTCTTGAGCTTGCCCTGCCATCATAAACGTCAGCGGGAAAAGCATGGCAGCGCCCACCGTGCAGTGCGGCCCGCGCTTGTTTCAATCTCGCCCAGTTCTTAACTTCCGTGCTGCTGCCGGGTAGATTGTACAGGTTCCAGCAGAGTATGCCAACCTTCCACGCCTGGATGGTCGTACCGCCTTGCTTTGGAGTGGAAGACTACATGTTGTGTTTGGTGCTGCTATTGATCAGTAACTGAGCTTGCAGCTATACTTGTGTTTTCTCTGCTGGGCGCATTCGCATTTGCACAATGGAACATGTATACATATGTATATACAGTATATCCTTTGCAAAAGTAGGGCCGCGCCAGGCCGGGCTGTGGTCGAATGGACGCTGACAAGAGGGCCGGAAGCTGGAACAAAGACGTTTGGGGCCTGGAACCTTGCTTTTCCACGTCGCTGTTTGTGAAGCAAAAGGTTGGCCTTGCGATGCCTTGCCAAGCCGAACCCACACGCGCGCGCGCTTCTCTGACTGCCCAGCGCAAGTCGCCTCGCAGCCTCAGGTATGCACTCGATTCTGAGCTTTTCAACGAGGCGCTGAACTTGGAAGTGCCTGAAAATCATTTGCTTGGACTCGCAGAGGCAAGATGAGAGAAACAGCCTGCAAGATTCTTTGTGCGGCTGGTGTCATCATTCGGTCTTTCACTGTGCCGTAGCCTAGGCCAAGTTCAAGATGATAGTTGATGGCTATTCATCGCCGCTGTCTGCAGTGGCCTTTGTCGAGAGTGGGCATTGACGCAAGCTGGGATTGCACTTGGCATGCCACGCTTTACTGCGAGAAAAGCCATTCCCAGGCAGGCAACTTTGTCGACCTCGTGCAGCGAAGTTTCTACAATGGGTCCGCGGCATAGTCGGCGCTGCACATCATCTAGCTGGCCCACTTACAAAGTCCAGACGTTGGTAGCTGCGAAAGTTGCAGTGCTGATGATCATAACATGATTTTATATGGTAGGACCGCCACATATCAAGGTGTTCCTGAGCAATACTTGCATTGTGAGCGATATGTTCAGCGCTTATTTGAAGAAAACCGTTTATCGAGGAGAGCCTGGAATTGAGGTAGTGGAATTGAGGTAGTGAGAAGTGAGGAGCGCTTGTTTGAAGAAGTCGAGGTTAGAAGCTATGACCAAAAGCATCGCAGTGCTATTCATTATGACCAGACAGTAGTTAGTACATGTTATATTTTGATCTATAAACCTTCTGTACTACCAATAGGGCTGGCGAGGCGGGGGGATATGTGTTTCAAAAGGTAAACAAAACATCAAGCTATGTTGATCCTTTTTTTCTTGGTCTCTTTCTCTTTATGTATTGTTTGTTTGTTTTCTCTTATTTTGTTTTACTTTTATCTTTATCTTCTCTTCTTTTTCTTTTTTCTTTCTCATTCTGCTTCTCTTTCTCTTTTTGCTTCTTTCGGCCAGACAAGACTGCCCGGATTTATGTCGCTCCGGCAGATGGCAAGTTCGCCACATGATTTGCAGATTCCAACGCCAGGATGTCCATCCAGCGAGCTGATGGTTTCATCATTCAGCCGTCTGCCAAGATGTCCTTCCATCGAATGTGGAAGCTTCTTGCCGTTCTCGCGACCCAGGACCGGCGATCCGGGCCCAGCCAGCGGCAACGGGTTTCAGCCCACACCTGGAGGTCCAGCCCGGAGCCCATGTGCAAATGTGAGGCGGACACTTGCCACTGGCGGCTTCAAAAAGACGCTTTTGGCACCACTTGCATTTGATTCGAACGAAGCTGAAGTCTTTCCATGCGGATCCAGGTGAGGACCATTCCATTGGAAGTTGGCCTGCGAGGGCGCTCAGAGGCATGGACAGTGGGCGCTGCTTTGCATGTTGCATCCTATTCAGAACAGTTCTTACTTGTAGAGTTGCTTCCTTGATGCTTTTTTGGGTCTTGGCATAGATGGCAGCAATGCTACCAGTAGCCTTGCGCACATGGAGCCCGCTGGCAGACTTTGTACGGTGAGACCATCGATGAAGCGCGTTTGGTGGGAAAGGAGGTCAAGATCCCGTTCCAGGTGCGGCTGGCAGCTGTTAGTTTAGAATGTTCACGAATATTCCACTGTCCACTGGTGAGTTGTGCCACTCCCATGTTTGACACTGTGTGTCCGCTTTTTGCGATTAAACTGTTGCAGGCGGATGGAACCGTCGC